ACGTATACGCTGGCTACTCGAATAATTTAATTATTATCTTTTAATATTTTTGTTACCCAGTCCCACTGCCTCTAAATTGTTATTGTCGCTTTCAGCGCACATTTATTTTTGACTTCCATTGGATCTCTCCATTCCTTGCATGAATCCGCTTGTAGTAGAGTGTGATTGGCGCAACCAAGCATTACGACTAATTACTGGAGGGATAAAATTAACACCTACTGATGCAATGCTCCTGGTTACAGGCAACACCACAATGCGTTCCTTTATCAAAGAGAAGGCCTTGATCCTGTATGAGAAGCTACTGCACATTCCCAGGGACAAATTCTCCAGCACCTATGAAAATAGAAGCAACTTGGCCTAATACAGAAAGCCATAGAACCGAAGAAAGCATTACAAACTGATGACATACCAAAAGCCTCTCTCTCTACCTCAAAACCCATTAGCAGACACTAACGTACAACATTGCACCCAGCTGCTTGACCACTTCAGGAAAGCGAATACCCCTCCAGATCAAATGTGCTCATTGGCCATTGAGACAATCAATGTAAACGTTCCTGCAGATCAATGGCTACAAGTCTTCACTGGCGGGTCATACAAAGAAAACCAAGTAAACGTTTTGGTGCAGGTGTTTACTCTGAACTATTCTCTTTCTTCGCAGCATCAGGACATTATAGATCCGCATTCGAAGGAGTAATGGAGGCTATTAAGATAGCACTAGGCCAATTGAGCTGCCTGGATACGAAATTAACCAGATCAGTAATTCTTTCAGACTCAGTCAGCAATAAATTCGATTGGAAACAGAGAACCACCCAAAATAGCCGTGATATACGAATGTATACAACTGTATCAGTTACTGAGAAAAAAAGGCAAAATAGTAGTTCTTCAATGGACCCCTGGACACTGTGGCGTTATAGTCAATGAGCGCGCTGACACTTGCTAAGAAGAGGATCACAATTTTGCAAGACATAGACCGGCCGATGTCTTTCCACACAATAAAGACCTTAATCAGGAAAGAATTCAAGACCTCAAGGTGCAACGAACTTAAAGCTCGAACAACGGAGAAGCAGTGGACAGTGGCACTCTCCGACATAGCCAACTGGCCAAGAATCGAAGCTGTTTGCAGAGTTTAGACTGTGTACCGGACACGATTGCCTGGCGATTCACTTTCACAGAATGGGCGTATACGTTCAACCAACATGTCCCCTATGTGACCTACACGAGGAGATGGAGAAGACCCACCTGATTCGGTGTCCAGCCCTTCTGACAACGACTGAAACCCAGAGATATTGTGAAGCCAGAAGTCAACTTCTGAACTACTATTAACTGTCCTAAAGCCTAAGTATATGTTCCTCTCTCCCACCCCTTCCCTTTTTGTAGGCCGAAGTCAGCTAAGGGGCTAATGATAAATATCATGAAGCCTGCCATTTGAAGTAATAATTTTTTTAATTTTCTTTTTTTTTCTAGAAAAAACATGACGCCCCGAAAGTGTCTCTTCGGCAATATTTCCTACAATGAGGATTCAGCCTACATTCGAGGCACATCAATTTCATCCGCAGACAATAGTGCTATCGATACTCCCACAAAAGGCGCAACTCAACAGCCTCCAATTTCCTCCGTAACAGCACCAAATTGCCTTGGATACTGAAAAATTCGATTGATGGCGTAATCTGTGTTTGTTTGTTTGTTTTTTTTCGCTTTGGTATTTCTATTCTTTTTATGGTGCGGTGTGTTGTCTACCAGTTACTGCCCCCCCCCCCCCCAATGGTTGTATATAGGATTGAAATTCAATTAAAAAAGTTCGCGTTCTCCTGCTTTATAATAACTTGTGATCCTTATATTATTGTGAAGGGGGATAAAGCCGTGGTGTTATTGAGAGGCCGAATCTAGGCTACCGGATCTTCTCATTTTGAATAGAACAACTCCTAGTGTTTTTGATGACGATAGTTTTCTGACCAATGAGACATCGACACAAACTCACGCCACCGATTGCACATCGAGGCTTGTACATACAACACCTTGAAAAAAGTCAGTTTCCTAAACTGTCCACCTTTGAAGCTTTAGCTGAACAAAAGAACCCCAGACACGTCGCTTATCTTCAATGATGCCCCGAATATTGTTTCGATTGCAATTTCGCTTCCAATTATCCTTATTGATCTAAAAAGTAGTTGTACTTGATCTGAATGAAAATTGGCCTTGGAGGATGTACTGGTACTTGGTCACTCATATAATCTTGACTATTTATGATGGCGATAGTAACTCAGGTCTAGCAGGTGGAGGACTTAGTAAAGGACGAAGTCACTTCCTTAGAAGAAGTCCGAATACAGGCCACGTGTAGTTAGCCACCTGGTTAGTCAGAAATATAGCGGAGAGGGAACTTAACTCCCATGAAAGTGGGCAGTAATTCGAAAGATCTAGATGCGTCTAGTAATCAACCATTTGTGAGTCCCGGTAACCCATAAATCTACATCCCAAACAATGAAATTGACCTTGGAAACGCCCTTCTCTCCTTCCCACCGTACTGCACCCTTATATAAGTATTCCGAACTTCAGACCGTTCGGTGGAAAAGCCATCGAATACAGAAAAAAGCGGCAATAAAGCCTCGAAGGGATCTCCCTCCAATGTACAAGAAGTTAAAAACGGCGAACTTTTGTCCTAATTGGATACTCTATACGATTTTTAAGGAACGAGGCCCGGCCACGGAAGTCCTGCCTTCACCAAGAGGTGAAGAATAACTACTTCAACTCAAAGGACTCTTCCAAAATTAAAGCCCAGCAGAGATGAATAAGTATCTTTATTGACAATGTCATGGTCAGAAGTCGTTAGGCCATTGATCAAGAAAAGTACAATGATGTAGTAAAAATCACTCTAAACGTCTCACAATAGAACATCGAAGGTTTCCCCTCTTCTCGCTCAATTTCGCTACAATAGGCAGTTGATTGCGCATGCAGTTATCTCGTTAAAAGTGTGGTCTAACCATCCTGAAGGCAACGAATCCGAATCCCGCTAATATAGTGGCCGCCAAAGTTAGCTTCCATGCGTAGTCAGGTTGCGCTAGTTCCAAACGTTTGGCGTGGCTGAAGGGCAAAAAGAAATATAAATGTGTTACCTACTTTAAACTTTTAACCGCTTAAATTAGCATATAAATATATAAATAAATAAAATATGCAAATGAATGCGAACCGATAGCGTAGCAATCAAGATGCACATTTGAAATGTCAGAAAACACCTCTCGGAAAAGTAGCCAACTATTCTAGCTACCACTAACCAAGAGGGGAATTATAGATTCTCGTCGGAGAGGCTCCATGATGTCTCCCCCCCCCAATATCCTTTGTCCCAAACGAAAATTGGAAAGTACCCCTTTTTGACGGGGTTTGAAACTTGCCATCCTCCCTGCTAATAAACAGATAATTTAGAAACACTAGTCAAGATATTCACTTATCCGCATGGTCGATTTCATCCCATTGAAATTTGAGATGAAGAGCTGTGATCGCAAAATTCCAGGGCAAGATGTCATCGTATTTGGGGTGGGGGCAAAGATTGCGCATAAATGAGAAGCATCTATAAATCTCCAACCCCCCTCCCCCTTCCAGATAATGTTTAGTCGGTACTCATCCAACGCGATACGTTGAGAGATCACAGGGATCGGGTCACACAGACTTTAAAGAAAAAGTTGGAGTAAGCGTAATAACCGTGGCCGTAAATATCAAGGCCAATACATTGGTTACCTCAAATCAGGCCAAAAATCATTTATACATGACCGAGCACATTTGTCCATTACCTTAATTAAGCCTATCTTCAGTGAACTCAAGGGCACGGTGGTAGAAGTAGCACTCGGATGCTTAGAGAAGTAAGTCAAATCTCATCTTCTTGCAAAGGACATGTTCATTAATTTATTGAAATGGTGTGAAATGCCAACTACTAAGAAATGGTGCTAGAATTAGGTAATTTTTAGTGTAAAAAAAGGAGGAAAATATGATAAAAGTGGGATGAACATAAACTCTCCCGAGGTCATGATACAAAGTAGGTGAACAATTGCTTAGATGTAATCGGACATCGTCAAGTTCAAAACACTATGAAACGAAGCAATTATTCACGAAATTCTGCCCGATCATTGTGTAGGAATCAGCCCATTTCACCTCCTTCCATGATTTCCCTCGCGTCTTTGAAGATAGTTTTGATAGTCATCAGCGACCATACAACGTAGAAAGCACCGGTTCCCGTCCGATCACCGGGGTTAAATTACGACGAATCAAATTAGTACTTGCATGCCTAACCATCTGAGAATACCCGGTGTACCTTGGGCAAAGTATACTCGTACGGCAAAATAGTCTATTAACTGGCAGTTGACTTCTCACTTCAAACTACCATCACCCCACTGTATGCCATATTCGACCCCTTCCACAATACTCACCTTACCTTTTCTCTACCTTTGTATCTGTCTATCTTTTTTTGCATCCTCGAATCACTTTCTGTCCCTCCTCTCGAATTGTTCTCACTTTGATGTTCCTTCCCTCTATGAAGCCCGAAGTCAGCTAAAGGGCTAATGATAACTATCAAAACGCCTGCCATTTGAAATAAGCTTCCATGACCCGATTCTGTGTCATATTCGACCACTTCTACAGTACTCGCCTTACCTTACATTCTTCTCTACCTTTGTGCCTGTCTTTCTCTATCGTCTGTGAATCACTCTCCTGTTCCCCCTCTCCAATTTTGTGTGACTTTGATATTCCTTCTCTCCTCTGTGAAGCCCGAAGTCAATCAAATGACTAATGATAGCTACCATAAAGCCTACCATTTGATATAAATAAACATGAGTTAACACTCACCAAGAGACGAATAGCACATTAGAGAGGCACCAAGATTCTACGCCTAAACCAACATACTGAGCCCTTCAGTGTGCTCTGAAGTTATTACTGTCATAACAATTCTTTAAATGTCGCCTTTAACAATCCAAAGTATAAGGAGCTGTGAATTAGTATATTCCAGGCCTAAAACAACTCCTCCCACAGTGGCCCCGTGTCTGGCGAAGGGGAAGCCGCGAATTTGACATTCACCGGTACGAACCCAGTGGGTTGAATGAAACTAGCCACACACACTGCTTAACTCTACTTCAATAAAGCTATCATTAACAAATCAACATTAAATCAGCTAGAAGACGAAAGGGTTGACAGAATGCCGAAGAACGAATCTCAAAATCAGAGTTACCCGGGATGATTCAGACTAAAATATTTACCACACGTCCACAGATGTTCTGACCTTCAAGCACAACAGCACGAAATGACTTTAAGTAATCTGTAGAGCCCTGGTTGAGTTAACTAAAGCATTTTAGGGAAAGTGTACTTCTGTCTATCCCCTGCTCGCCTGACCTGTGTCAACTCCTAGGCCAATGAAAATTTAGTGGGTAGGTAGGGAGAAGCAGGAGAAACAAGACACCATCACATACGGAAAGTTAGCCGCAGTGGTCAACTTGATGTAGACAGGGTGAAATCCACAATCTGCCTCAACGTTGGTGGGCGCATAGTGGGAGGATAAGGCGGAGGAGGCGTTTTTGGTGAAGGAAGGAGTAGATGAACGACACCTTGTGGCAGAAAGGGGTCGAGTTTGGTGAGGTGGCATAGATGTGGAGTTGCCGTTGCGTTGTTGACTCCTGTAAGAATACACATACATACATACATATATCATTGCGAGGGGTGTGCGATAGACTTACCTCCACGTGGTGCACCCTGGCCAACGTATACTCATATGGTAAAAAAGTCAATAAACCGGCAGTTGACTTCTGATTTCGAATTGCCATGATCCCACTGTATGTCATATTCGACTACTTCCACAGTACTCACTTCACCTTGTTTCTACCTTCGTCTTTGAAACACCCTTCTGTTCCCCC